TAAACAAAAGGTGTCGTTGCCATCGGCGATTAATATGTCTGCTTGACCTATAATCTTTCCGTTGAATACTGAATTGTTTTAGCCACCTATCAAGTAATTGCAAAAAAGACCACGGGCTCTTACAGGGAGCTAGTAACATTTGGAAAAGAAACATTTTCTCATAAACATCTTGAAATAGAAGATAAGTGTCAAAAGGGTTTTATGAAATGGAAGCAATGTCTGTGGTGGGACATTACGTACATTTACTATTAAATAAGAAATATATTGTTAAATAAACAAGCATGAGGTTATTACGTCACTTTACTCAGTAATCTTTAATTCAAAGCTGTTGCTAATAGTTGGTACTGGAAACTTAGTGCAAAGCTATTAATAGAACAAAAAACATACATTTGTGATGACAACATCGCTACGGAAAATGATTTGCACATGTGCGAGACAGACACTTTACCCTGTGGAAAACTAAGCTTATGACAACATAACTAATATTTGTAACTAATATTTGTAACGTAATATTTGTAAAGTTGATCTTATAACAAGGAAAAAAAAGTATGAAAATCTGAGTATGAAGTTCTAGATCATGAAAGTGAGTTACCATTAAAGTAACCTTTCATAGTTTGTGGATGACTCATTTATCAAAGTTGAGCATACCATCAATACCATCAATAGGATAGGGTGCTATGAAGATATAGGAAAAAGAAGAAGAATTGGGAAGGTAAAAATACGACCCCTTATGTTTTCCAAAAATGTGCTGAATAATTTGCTGATAATATGCTGAAAAATTTGGGTAATATTTGTAATTGTGAAAGAGGTTGGATGCAACGTGCGCTATCATTGGTCGAAAGGGCGTGCTTTATCAGAGTTTATAGTTCACCACTAAATTTTCTCCGATTCTTATTGGTTTAAATTGATCACGTGACGCAATAGTGTCCATCCGTGGAGAGACGCTATCAGCCCATAGTGCCCGTCCGCCGAAAATACCCGGATGGATAGTACTCTTCCGTGAAAAACTTTGAATGGTTTGACGGCCGCGAAGTTAGGACGATCAGAAAAACAGTGACTTTCCAATTCTGACAGGTTTAACATATTATTTACCCAATGTACGATTATTGACAATTGTGACAGCCTGTACGCATGAATAAATATTTGATTGATCTGCATTTAGTGGGTTTTCACTGTTTTTCAACTGGCGCGCGTAAGAAAATTTAGCGGTGAACAATAAAGACAATAGCGCGTTTTTGTCTCGGAACTATCGGTCTGACACTTGCCCCTTGGAAATTTGATTTTCTTAAAACTAGCACATTTACCCTCGAAGCTTCACTTCTCAAGAAAATATTTGTTTAAAGAACATCAAATTTCCGCGGAGCAACTACCACCCGATAGTTCCTCGACAGAAACACTCTATTGTTTAAATAGAGCATGGAGCTGATTTAAAGCTCTACACTATCTGCTTATGTGTGCTATGTCTGGCATTTGTTCGTTAATTGGTTAAAAGTGATATTCGGAATAAACAAGCGAGCAGAAGAACCAATCAAAGGTTTGTAGGCCGGCCAAGCGCCGTGATTTGTAATATTACAACGAGTGCAAGGACGAAAATCCTTAAAGAGAACACAGAATGGACAACTTGAGTTCCGAAGGGTTTCATGCTCAGTCAGATTATAAATGATAATAAAAATCGAACACAGCCAACACTTCCCTAGTAGATATAGTTTCGTGTTTAAAACAAAACAGAACAAAACAGTTTTGGTGAAATTAAACTTGAAAATATATCTAAAATGGCATAACTATTAAAATTCATACAAATCATGACGATTTTAGAGCGTCTGCGATCATGCTGAGGTTCATCGCGGCTAACTCATCATGGTGATCTCCGGTCCTCGTAGTGAAGCAAGCCCCAGAAATTACATCGGGCGCTATTCGGGTGAACTTAACTATGATCTCGCTCTAGTATCCTTTCCGATGCGTTGAGTGGAAGGCCACATCAGTCACAGCAGGCGAGTTTTACGGCGCTGTTATCCTAAGCAATCTTCGTGTTCCTGTCTTGACCTTCTTGTCATCCAAAGAAAACAAAACAAAACAGAAAAACAAGCGTGTTTTAATGAGCTCCGATTCGGCCGGATTTCACAAAACTCAGAATCTGTGTTAGACCAAAAACTTCCGTCAAAAGTGTTAATCTCGGCCCGTCCAACTAATTTTGTTTTTTGTAAACTAGTGCGGATGGTGAACAAACTTCGATGGTCTATGAACTTTGATGGTTTGACATTTTTGACAAGTTTAGTCTTGTTTAAACAATCAGATTACTTGAATACACACTTTAGTTGACCCCTCTCCATGGGGGCTTTTCAGGGCCAATTCCCACCCATCCCACCCCAGGGGAGGACATCCACAACACAGTAATCTCGTGCGTGGGAAATGAACGTCTCCTACTCCTAACCCTGCAGGAGACGGGGCCTACGGTTTATTCGTCCTTATCCGAGAAGAATATCTATCCATTTCTTAGAATATCTATTCATTTCTTAATCGTGGTTAAAGAAAGGTAGCGAATTCTCCTCACTTATTTTAAGATCATGAGTATTGGTCCGGCCGGGGGTCGAACCCTCGACCTCCCGCACAACACAATCCGGCGCTCTAACCAATTGAGCTAACCGGGAGACGGTTAGCTCAATTCGTCAGAGCCATTCTGATTAAGATTCAGATTGGCTTATTGTAGCCTGCTGCATGAGAGTATAGGGCATGTTATTGATTTGAAAATTGAAAGTAATGTCTAGGGAATTTAACGGATTCTTCAATATGAAACAAATAGAGGAGCCATGACTGTGCTCTGTTCTGTTGTTAAACACTTAAGGAGCGGTTAAAGCTCAAGAAAAGCATAGAAACACTCAATTAGATCTCGTGTTTCTCCCAACACCTCTTTCGTACTCTATCGCTTCCTATGTGCTTTAAAACAGAACAGGGCACAGTGGAGGCTTCTCTTTTTGTTGATTAAATGTTCTTCACACCTGTCACATAAACAGACTTACTTTCGCATGTTCAAATTTAGAGCACTTCTCATTCCTTGAAATAGATTTTTTTTCGTTTTGGTGTTAACAATATGGGAAAAGTTCCAAAAAGAAAGCTTTTGGCAAATGGTTTCACTTTTCGTGACGTTTCAGGACTCCTTCTTTATTGACTGTTTAATCATTTTGAAGTAACAGTCTTCACTCTTACTTACCAAATGAATGGGAAAACACCAAATTCAGAAGTCATTTAATTAGTTTTTATTCAAGGAGTTTATGAAACTGTGGAATTGTTTTGACTCCAATATAGAGTACAAGAGACTTAAATTAGTCAAAATTGGCTCGTAGGGTTAAGAATTTACGTACCCCAAAGGAAGTTAATGAGTGATACTACTAATAAACATCATAACAATTAGAATCTCTAGATTTTTCTTCTCTTCTTTTTTTTTTTGTTTTCTTTGTCATCGTTCGTTCGATTCGTTTTGATCAATACTTCAGAGAAATTTCTCTTTTAAAATTCCACAAAACAAGAGGCTTGCTAATAGGAATTTTTCATGCACATAATGTTTGAAGAAAGTAGAAAACGGGAACAGTTAAGAAACTTATTGTCCCGTCCAATTTTGATTAATAATGAATGACAATAACAGTAAAACTTCACAGTTTTGGCTCTGCAAGAACCTAAAAGCATTAGAGATGAGAAACTCATGGTTCTTGCATTTGTTTCACTTTATTGAATATCTTATCAAAGAGCAAACTACCGTGAGAGCGGGTTAAAAATGTTCTTTTTTGACAAGACTGTGAACTGGCCCGCCGTCGCCGCCCGATACTCTCTTTCATATCAATATTTTGTGTATAAGAAGCGATGGTAAAGAATATTCTTATTTAATCCCCTGATGAGTGGGCAACCGCGA